TTTCAGTCACGGAAGAAATCTTCCCCGTTAGCGCATGTCTCTGAACAAACTTTAGTAGGACTACAACGGAATTTGACTCGATGTTTAAGTCAGAGCTGCAAGTATTGTTGTTTCTGTTTTTCTGAACTCAGAGTTGAAAATTGACTTCCAGTGTCCATGAAAGCAAATTCTCAAAAGTCCTTCACTAACTTCAGCTATTTTTCTAGAGAATCTCTGATTGTAATATGCTTTTTTGGAGCTAAGGCAACATTTCACACTTACTGGACTGGCACACCTGGATTTTTAATTTCATGACATGTTGGGTTCTCTAGCCCCTTCTTGCATGGAAACTCACTTTCTTCACGAAGTTAACTTCATGCTTATAGCTGAAACCTAATTTAAAGTACAGAAATTAAACTTAATTTTAACTACTCCCACACCAGAGCTGCATAAAACCGCTGTGATAACTTTCAACTGTTGCTTTTGTAATCTTTTTTTGGTGTGACTCATCTCTCCCAGAAATCAGCACCTACTGCTGCTGTTTTAAAAGCTTAATAAAATTCCACCCACTTCTCCATACATGCACAAAAGCTGGGACTTGTCAAATGTACTAACACTCTTTTAAGTAGCAGTTCACATTCTACTTTACGGGAGAAAAATGTTTAAATCCTATTGATTTAACAAAGAGACATTTATACTTTTTATTTTGTTTATTACTGTTTTGAAGCATTTTGTTCCATGTGTCTTTTAAATCATTCCTAATAAGCTTCTGCTAGGAGTGAAATTCTGGCTCAAATGTTATGTAGCCTCCTTTTCATTATAAAATATGCTTCCTAAACAAACAGCTGTTTATAATGTAATTAGGCCCATGTTGACAATGCCATCCTTTAATTGCCTAGCTTCAGTCACTGTGCACAGAATTGTCTCTGGATTCTAAGGGGTATTTTCAGCATCATTAAACTACCTTTTGAAGGTTTTAAATAGCTGCTTGAAAGCTGCAGCTTCTGTAAAACAAATTCTGGAAAAGTCAGGTGTGATTTGGATCCAGGAGCACAAACCAGAACTATAATGAGGCAATAGGATGCCATCTCCCTCCAGCTGAGATAAACCATGCTGCTAATACTCAGGGCCAGATATTGCTCGAGGATGGGGGTCCACCTTTGCACATCCACAGACTGTGCCACAGTTAGGATGTTCATGCACCTGCATCAGCCCTTATGGAAGATGCAATGTTCTTCATGTAGAAATTAAAGTAAAATGGAGCCCAGGGCACCAGTGTCTATTATGAGACACCCCCTTCTTTTTGTAATAGCTGTGTGACCTTTAACAAGGTACCTTCTCAAATAACTTCTGCCACACCATTACTGTTCAAAGATTTCACACTAGATCACTCTCCTTTGCTGAGGCTGCCTAAATTCAAAGTGTGGCACCGCTTTAATTCAATTTGTGCCGAGCAGCCTTGCAAAGGCAGGAAGGAGCAAGAACACAGAGAACAGCAAGCAGACTGGTGGAACTGAAAAAGGATACATCTAATTCACTCTGGAAAGGAAAAAGATAAGTTAGTTTGGGATTGATGTTCTTTCATTTGTGATATTACAGACAGAGTACCAGTCATGTCAGAGACAAATATTTTTTTTAATGGAATGGTTCCTGCCTCTGTACCCAACTGTATTCCATCACTATCCCAGAAGTGCTTCCCTTAGCAGGTGTAAAGGAACCCCTAGGAACAGCACTGGGAGCAAGATGGGGGTCTGCAATGGAAGAGGGGAATCAACAGAAAATCACCAGCACCGCTTTGTTGGTAGAAAACAAAGTTGGACTCAATCCAGTATACTTAACACACTTGACAACTATTCCCATTATCTTAAATTAAAGATTAGAAGTAGGATCTATCAATCTTGCAGTGCCTCCATTAATTTCAATAGGGCTTCTATACAAAAGATCATTAAAAACCCTAGAAATCCTACTGAATGCCCCATTTTACCAACCATTGACCACACTATAAAAGTCTACCTTTGTTGACCCAAGGACCATAGATCATATTTTAATTTGTTTCAATAAATTTTTAATTTATTTTAATTTGTTTCAAGCCTCCGAATGCTGAATTCTGTGCCTGATAATAAATTCCATACTTCTCTGAATTTGTGCTAAATTGTGAGAATGCATACAATTGATCATGGCCTACATCTTATCACTCCCCAAAGCAAAGTATGAAGCCTTCCTCTAGCCTAAATGAAGAGCCATTAAATTGGGGAAAGCACCTTAGGGTGGAGGAACTTCAGGATGGATAACTCTGTCTTTTCTCAACAACACAATCTTTTTTGGTGTGTTATGTGGAAGCGACAGTGTTTTAACACAGTCATCCTAATCTACTTTTCACATGCACAGACAATGTGAAACCATTGTCCAAGTAAGGAAACACCATATGTTTCTCTCATACTTTTGTTGGCTAGTTTGTGGTCATTAGCACATTCAGCCAATGCTGCAAATTTCTTTCTGAAACATTATGTATACATTAAAGGATGCTGCCTAATAGCAGTACACTACTTGCACCAGCCCATGGAGATTGTACTTGCTCAGAGCTGCTGGGCTGCTGAACTGGGGAATGCAGAAAAGTAGGGTGGATTAGGGAAGCCACATATCACACCATGGTCTATTTTAATAGCATGTAACGCATAGAATAAATATGTAACCACTGACAAACTGGACCGTTCATTCCAAAGAGATGTTCTGGTGAAAACCACAAACATGAAATGTTTTATCCTAAATTAACATCACATTTGCAGAACCCAGGCAGTGCACTAAACTAGGAGGGCAATGGGAGAGGAGAAGAACAAACTAGGAAAGAAAAGAACATCTGTCCTTCACTAGAGAGACATTTTGTCATCTCGGTATTTTTAGATTTGTGAGTTTCAAACATTCTTTGCAAGTACTATATTTATCTAATGGTGTTTGCAGAGCTTACATTCAGATATCAGACCCTTCCCGGGTGTTCCAAGAGAAACAAAACAGAAGCCACAGAATTCAAAGCAAGTTATCAATCCCTTTTTCAGCTCAGATTCCCCTCAGCTCCCAAACTAGCAGTAAATTTTTGGTATATATGCAGAATACTACACTCTTGGACCACACATTTACCTACTTAATGTTCATTGACTTTGAAATTATTGCCACCATTTGGTATAAGTAATCCCAAGGGGCCAAATTTTTACACTCTAATCCAGTAGACAGGATTTCTTCTGGTCAAAAGCGTGCAACGTGAGCAGTCCTCCTTCCTTGGTCACCACATCCCATGACGAGGGCTTCTCCTGATTGCTGAAATCAAGACTCTCTATGCAGCAAGAGTGGACACCAAATTCAGGCCTCCCCTTCTCCCCTCAAACTGGTGACTGACACTGTGAAAGTTCAGAATGCTGATTACCCATTCAGCAGGTTAATGGGCAGCAACATCTGCTTAGCCATCTACACTGTGCAAGGATGCACGGACCACACACTTCAAGTACAATCCTATGGAGAGTTACTCTAGTCTTCAACGGGCTTCGGGTGGAAAAGATCTAAACGTGGGCACCATGTTGGGGATCAGTGTTTTTAAAGGGAGTAACTAGTACCTTGAATAGTGCGTAGGAGCCAATTGGCAGCTAGTGTAGTTCTTTCGATGTCTGAAAGCAATCCCCCCCCAAGCCTGTACCAGTAAGCACTATTACTGCTAAATTTTATATAAACTGCAGCTTCGCAACCATCTTCCAAGGCAGCCCTGTACAGATTGCAAAACAGTAATCCGAATATGTCCAGAATAGAGGTAACTGGCCAAATCATGACTTTCAAAACAGTGCTACAACTGGTAAGACCACTGAAATTGACCCAAGTACTATCAGCCACTGAGTCTACATTTGTAGAATGAATCTAATAGCACCGTCAAACTGCAAAACTGCTCTTTTGCAGGAAGTGAAACCCCAGCTAACACAGATTGACTCCTCAATACCTGTATGACTAGATTACCAACTAACAGCACCTATGTTTTGCCTGGAATGAGCTTCAGTTTATTGTGTCTCAGTAGGATTACCACCCTTAGGAGGGGAGATTTGGGGGTGGAACATGGGAATGGTGGGGTTTGGGGAAGGGAGGGAAGTCAGAGGTGTATAATGTCATCAAGTCCACCCTACAAAGCACCCATTTTCTCCAGGTGAACCGATCACTTGCACTCTAGAGATCAGCTGTAATTCCAGGAGGACTCTAGCCACCACCTGGAGGTTGTATAAATATAAAGACACTCCGTGAATGAATTACGAACATAAGCAGAAAAATTATATTGTATGAAACAATTCAAACATTTTGAAATCTTTGTTAAAGAACCCTTATATATATATATATATTTTTACAGAGCTAGGAAAAAAAGTACTTGATACAAAGGGAGAATGCAATTCTATTTCAGTGAGTATGTATGTGCTGACAACTGGGGATATAGTTAATATGTTGTAATATAGTAAAAATGACATGGAAATATAATTTTCAGTTCATACCTAAAGAGTACCAGCTATCTGAAGAAGTGTAACGTGAACGCGGCAGTGAAGCCAGCCGTGTATAGCTGTACTAACATATGACGTGGAATTATTGCACTCCTGAAGTTTTTTATAAGGGTTCTTTAACAAAGATTTCAAAATGTTTGAATTGTTTCATACAATATAATTTTTCTGTTTATGTTCGTAATTCATTCACGGAGTATCTTTATATTTATACAATCTCCTCCCGTGAGCTCTCATTTTTGATATACAACCACCTGGAGGTTGGCAACCCTACCTCTCCCCCAGCCTGTTTTAGCTTCCAGGCACTTCTTTGGAATACCTACTGGCTCACATTATATTTTGAAAGGGAGATACAGAATTGGGCGTTATCTGCACGTTGCTGACAACGCACTCCAAATCCCCAGATGATTCTTTTAATGATTTCATGTTGATGTCTAAGAGAGCCGGGGACAAAATAAAACCATGTAGGATTCAATATCACAAATACTACAAAGCTGAGCTTCTCTTAGCCAACACTATCTTCTGGAACAAAACCAGAACAAAACCTCCAACACCCATTTCACTCAACTAATCCAGAAGACAATGGTACCAAAAGTTGCTAAGAGGCCCAGGAGAATCAACAATATCTCATGCCCCCTGTCTTTCTCATGGCAAAGGTCATCCACCAGGGCAACCAAACCAGGCTCTTTTTCAAAACTAGGTCAGAAGTGTGACTGAAATAGCTCAATCCATTTTATCCAAGAAGGCCTGGAATGACTTGACCAATGCTTAAGTACTTTGCCAAAAAAGAACAATAAAAAAGAGTATTTGCTACCTGGTGGCAGCTGATCATTCAGATCTAGACATGGGTTTTTCAGTAGGGGTTTCATGGCTCCCTCTAGAGACAGTACTATCTTGTCCTTCAATGAAGCATTCACTATGCCCTGGATCTACCCAGCAATCTCTTCTGTCTTGATGTAATAATAAATAATGAAGGGTGAGGATCAAACACTGATGTAGGAGGACAGATTCCTCCAAACATCTAATCCATTTAAGTGCAGAAGGCAGATTTTTTTTCTTTTTAAAAAAGGTCTTCAGCTTAAAGAACATAAGCTACCATAAGAACATAAGAGGAGTCCTGCTGGATCAGACCAGGGGCCCATCTAGTCTGGCATTGCATCTCACACAGTAGCCAACCAGTTTCTCTGGATGACAACAGCTGGTCATACAGGCTGAGGCCATCCCCTGATGTTGCCTCCTGGGAGCAGAACTGAGAGGTTTGCTGCCTCTGTACATGGATGTTCCCTTTTGTCACCATGGTTTATAGCCACTGATAAGACTTGTTCTCCATGAATCCTGTCTAATCCCTTTTTAACATCTTCTGTGCTTGTGGCCATCACTACAACCTCTAGCAGCAAATTCAACGTTTTAATTTGTTGCTACAGTGTAAATACAGAGGAGTCCTCTGGAGATTTTTGGGGTGGAGCCTGAGGAAGGCAGGGGTTGGGGTGGGACTTCAGTGGGGTATAATGCCATAGAGTCCGTCTTCCAAAGTGGCCATTTTCTCCAGGTGAATTGATTTCTGTCACCTGGAGATCAGTTGTAATCCCAGGAGATCTACAGCCTCTACCAGGAGGTTTGCAATCTTACTCATACAGGAGCTGCCCTCTTGCCTCCATTATACATCTGGAGCATTTTGTAATATTGTACACGGAGGATCCCCGCCAATATGGAGCTCCATTTGCACATATTGTGCTTCTGTATGTGCAGAAATGATGGATCAAAATGTCAATAGTCAACTCTTTTGGTCTATGTGTAGTGATGAAAACAGAGAACTAAAATCATAGCAGAGAAAGCAACACACTACTGTACAAGGTGACTTTCATCAGTTGCAATGAGTTGTGCCCCCGTACATAAAAACATGACAGTTGTGGTATATCATACTGCTATGTCTACAATGTGATAAATATAAAACTAACCCTTCCCCCCCAAAAATGAAAAGAAAAACATGTTTTTGGTTCCATATTATACTTACCACTCTGCTGAAATACTTGTCCAGAACTTCCACAAAATTATGAATTAGTTCATATACAGCCATTTCATTCTGAAAGTCAGTTACAAATACATAAAAATAAAAGTGGTTATACTAATCTCTCTATTTGTGGTATATTTAAATATTTTAGAAAAATCCAGAAACAAAACAGGGCCAGCCCAAGGATGCTTGGCACTCTTGGCAAATTACTTCACTGCTCCCCATACTGTCAGGAAGCCACCACCTGCAGGGAAGCTGCAGCCTGCCCTCCTCCCCCTTGGCACCACTGGGACACTCCCATGGCTACCTTCCACCTCTTCTGCACCATGGGAAGCTGATGCCTTCCTCCTCCCTCTCACATTGTACAGACACTACCCCACTCATGCTGTCCTCACTGGGACTGGTGCTATGGCTTGCCCCTCTGTCAAATCTCGCAATGGGGTCAGAATGGGAGGCAAAAATGGCCCTGCAAAAGGCCCCCCTCCCTCAGCCCTTCCACAACCTCACTCCCTTGATGGAAGGAAAGGGAAGGAGGGCCAGCCCCTGCCCCCCCACCATGGAGGGAAAAAACAGGTTTTCTGTTGACTACTCACTGGGCTATGCCAGACCCTGAAACTGTGGGCAGGGCGGCTGGCAATAGGTCTGGCTGGGTGCCCCTCCAGCTCTAGGGCTCTAACATGCACCTAATGGATGGGCCAGCCCTGAGACAAAACTAACAGCTTGATTTTGAAAACCTAAGATTTGCTGCATCCACCAAATAAGCACAAAAATACTTTTTAGCTGAAAATACTAAAATTAAAAGGTCAGCCAAAAGGGAACACAGAGGTTAACTCTGACAGCACTCATGTGTAGCTCATCTACAAAGTAGGTTTGCCAACTGGCCTAGAGAAAAGCATTTTCTCATTAACAGAATGGGACATTTACCAGGTGATGCTGTTTCCCTCCACACCATGAAAAGCCCAATTGCACACACATTAAGCCTCTATTAAAGGCCACTTGGCAATCTTATTTGAGACAGAGGTTGCAATTCTAAGAACACTTCCTTGGGAGTAAGCCCCCCAAAATAAAATGGGACTTACTTTCAAGTAGACTGACTGAGGAGTGCTCCCAGAAAATACTACCACTGTGAGGAATGGCTTTTAGAATTCTTAGGAAATAGTAGGGTTTGTTTCTTTTCTGTGGCTTTCATTAAATTGTGATAGAGCTAGACAGTATGCAAAAAGAAGGGACTCAAGAGGGAAGGACTGGATGACTTCTGCAAATCAGAAGGAAAGTGAGGCAACAGCAGTATATAAAGGTGCCCTTTGGCTTAAACGATTTATTTTCATTTTTATATAGGTAACAAGTATAACACATACCTCAGTTTCATTAATTCCAACCACTATGAAAAGGGCAGCATATTGTCTGTATACCAGCTTAAAATCTTTGTACTCAATGAAGGAACACTAAAGAAAAAACACAGAACAAAGCACATTCATTTTATTTACTTATTTATTAAAACATTTATATCCCACCTTTCCTTGTGGTTCAAGTTGGCTTACAATAATAGTTAAACCAAAATAAAACAGCAACCCCCCAAATCTCTCCCCTCACCCCTTAAAAGATGCTTGCTATTCAAACCCCTGCCAAAGCCCTGGCAAACAAAGGCCTCCTAAAGGTCTCCAGGGAGGGCCCCCCCCCACCTCTTCAGGGAGCCCATTCCCCAGAACTGGAGCCACGATGGGAAAGGCCTGAGCTCTGGTTGATGCCAGAAAGGCCACCCGAAGTTGTGAGATAGCCAACAGATGACCTGATGCCAAGAGATGGCCTGATGATCTTAGTCATCAATGGACATGTGAGCAGTGTACCTTCTAAGCTGAGTTAGTGTGAGCTAGCTCACAGTTTTTTAGCCTCCTGCTCACACATTTTTGTCTTCGCTCAGAATGGATGGCTCCAGGGCAAACTAATTTCTGCAGTAGCCAAATTGTTCACTCACAACTTTAATGCCAGTAGCTTACAGAGTAGAATTTTTGCTCACATGACTCCACAGCTTAGAAAGAGCATTGCATGTGAGATATATGCTATTAAATAAATCATCTTCATGTGTCTTGATATTCTACCTGTTTGCATTGTATAGCTCTATACATTTATCTAGATGCCTGATTTATGCAGCTACAAATGAGGTAAGCTAACAAAGTGTGCAGAAAGTCAATGTCTGTAGTGCATTTTAATTTCATTTAACAGCTCCAAAAGTCGAAGCCTCCAAACACTACTATTGTCCATCTGTTACTGTGGTTGTTATTATTTTATTTATTTATTGAATTTCTGAATTACCCAATCCCTGAGTACATAGGGCTCTGGGTGATTTACAACAGGTTAAAAACATTTTTAAAAATACAGATTAAAACCAGCAAATCAATCATATAGCACCATCTTAACATCCATGGACACACCTGAAGTACAATCTCTTCTGAGAGAAGATGCACTAAGTTGTGTCAAACTATGCACTGCCATCTGACTGATTAGATTTAAATTGTTGTTATAAAATGTTTTGTAAATTGGGTTTTAATGATTAATTTATTTACTGTTTTAATATTTTTGTTGCTACCTGTTGTTACCCGCCCTGAGCCCTGCTGTGCAGGGGAGGGAGGGTTATAAACTGAAGATTATACATACATACATACATACATACATACATACATACATGACCCTGACTCAAAATCTCAACCAGTGGCTGTAGCCTTTGGAAGGAGTTCAAAGGACAGTAATTTTAGCAGGAAGAATAAGGCAATGGCTCTAGGCTGTAGAGTCCCCTACTTTCTTGTTGAAGTAAAAAAGGCTTCAAGAGATTTTTCCTTTATTATTTAACAACAGTTTGCAGTTCTTTTTGTTGAAGGAGGTATTGGCTAGCTATTTTGAAAATAATGGTTTCCTCGAGAACACATGTATCAGTACAGAGCAGCCCCGAATTAATCAAAGCATTATAGACTGAACCAAAGAATTGAAAACAGCAGATAATAGCCATAGGCACAAATAGCTCCTAAACATGCAGTCTTGAAAAGTTTGTACTGTAATATAATATCAGCTTGTCCTAAACAGCTGAATTGTTCTCGGCTGTATGCACGGTTATTGTGCACGCAGGATACTCCTTCATTCACTGTAGGAGGCAGAACTACACATGTCTATAGATCCTCCATAGGAATGAACAGGTGGGGAAGAGGACTTAGTTCCATGCTTGCATCTGAGTTTTCACACCTAGAAGGCATAGCTGAAGAATCGGTACAATTGGTTATTACTAGGATCCTTTGCAATTTATCTCTTCCAGTTTACAAATGGCTTTACTGTTTTTACTTGGTTTTACTTGGCTCTTTTACACATATTGTGCGGCTCCCAGCAGGGCGGCTGGTGAAGCAAAGGAGAGGTATCTTCCCTTCCCCAGCCTCCCTGGGTAGGCTTGGAGGGAAGCAGAGAAAGAAATCAATTTTAAATGTGTTCTCAAAGCCCCTCCCCCAGCCAGCTTGGAGAAGGCATTTGTCTCTTTAAATCCCTTCTCCAAGCCAAGCAGCTGGGGTGGGGGCAGGTGGGGCTTGGAGGATGCATTTAAAGTTACGGTTGCTTTCTTTCCACCTTTCCCTCCCTCCCCCATCTATTTGCTTTCTTTCTAGTTTCTTTCTTTCTTTCCACCTTTCTTTTTTTCTCTCTCTCTTTCTCCCCTCCCTCCCCATCTAAAGTTAAATGTGTTCTCCAAGCCCTGCCCCACCTGCTGACCGGCTTGGCTTGGAGAAGGCATTGGTGTCTTTAAATCCCTTCTCCAAGTCAACCCGGCATGGCAGCCGGGGTGGGAGACTTGGGAAAGAAAGGCATTCTCTAAGCTCCCACCCCGTGGCCCCATCAGCTGGCTTGACTTTTTAAAATCCCTTCTCCAAGTAAAGCCAAACTGGCAATGGGGGGGGGGGTTGGAGAACACATTTAAAGTTAAAGTTGCTTTCTTTCCACCTCTTCCTTCCTCCCTCCCCATTTATATGCTTTCTTTCTCTCTCTCTCTCTTCCCCTTCTTTCCTCCCCCATCTATTTGCTTTCTTTCTACCTTTCCTTTTCCTGTCCTTCCTCATCTATTTTCTCCTTCCTTCCTTCCTCTCCCTCCCTCCTTCTTTCCTCCCCACATTTGCTTTCTTTGTTTCTGTTTATCTCTCTTTCTCTCTCTTCTTCTTTCCACCTCTTTCATTCTTTCCACCTTTCTCATTCTCTCTTCCTTCCTTCCATCCATCCTTCCTCCCCCCTCCTTCCCACCTATTTGCTTTCTTTGCTTCTTTCTTTCTTTCTTTCTTTCTTTCTTTCTTTCTTTCTTTCTTTCTTTCTTTCTTTCTTTCTTTCTTTCTCTCTCTCTCTCTCTCTCTCTCTCTCTCTTCCTTCCATCTCCCCATCTAATTGCTTTCTTTCCACCTTTGTTTATCTTTTTCTCTTTCTCCCTTCCTTCCGCCTCTATTTGTAGTAATTGTTTCTGCCTGTCTCTTTCTTTCCACTTCTTTCATTCTTTCTTTCCACCCCTCCCTCTCTTTGTCTCAGACAAATATTATTATTTGTTTATTTCAGCTTACACGACCAGAGTTCTCAAGCACATGCATAAAATACAGTTTGTGTTCAAACGTCAACTCTCAGACAAATAAATATCATTAGCAAACAAATAAATACCATTGGAAAAATAAATATCATTATCAATATCTGTTTTTACCCCTTTTGTTTTTATTTTTGTCAGTCTTACGTAATGTTAATAGAAAGCAAATTTGCATATTTTTCAATACAAATGTGTATGTAATATTTGTTATGTCTTGCAGCTCTCAAACATCTGATGTTTATTCTATGTGGCTCTTACGTTAAGTAAGTTTGGCCACCTCTGTTTCATACACAAAACATGCAATCTGCCTTTGAACCATGGTCTCCCCTAAAAATGTTTCACAGCTGACAGAAGATCTGAATTCAGGGTTGTGCATCCCACTAATCACAACATCACACGGGCCCTCCATGTTCCTAAACATGGGTATAAAGCAAGGGACGGAGGGTGTATAATAGAAGGGAAACATGCAGGAAAGAAGCATTGACCCTACCCCACTCACTGTTCCTCTTTCCCCTGCAGTCTTTCCCCCGAGGACATTTTTAACATACTTAAAGTGAACGTGGCTGGGGAAAGGTTACTGTGGGGTTACATTTAGTGTCCCCCCCCCCCCACAACACACATTTCTTTTGCATTTTAAATTATACCTTCCCACCTTAAACATGTGAAGCAGGTTAGGCTGTGAGTGTGTGAAGTGGCCCAAGGTCACCCACAGAGTTGACAGGCCACCTGTTATGACTGGATACCTCCCACCAAAAACCCCTGTTTCCTGCCCCTGCTGGCAGAAAGAAAATTAATTAAAATCTTGTCAGCAATTCCTAGTGTGTCATGACAGGTTTTCCCCAGACACACCATAATGTCACACCAATTCCTAGAGAGACGTGATGTCATTTCTGGGTTTATCCCGAAAGAGTGACATCATGCTGTTGTGTTGACAGCACCTCCCTGTTCCTACCCCCCCCCCATCTCCTGCTAGGTGCCAGCCATCATCTGGCAACCCTAATCACCTAGCAAGATCCATGGAAGAATGGGGATTTGAACTCGGGCTTCCCAAATCCTAGTCTGACACTCTAACCATTATTCTCCGCTGGCCATAAACAATTCTCTAAGAACAAAAGACATACTTGTTCCTTTGAACGGGAGAGGCAGTGCTTGATGACTTCAGCTTCCAGCATTGTCCGTTTCCGAAGGTCCATGTACTCATAGTAACGAGAGAGCCTTGTTTGGCCTTGTTTGTTCACCATAAGAAAAAACTTGATCATCTTTTTTGGATTCCTGTAAATACCTTTTCTGAGGTTAGATGGTCAAACTGTGAATCTGGATGCAGGAAAATCAGAAATGTCAGTTACATGATTTGTAATATTAAATGGCTGGGGTGGAGGGCACTTCTTTCAGACAAACTGTGCAATCAGGTGAGGCTGCTGACTGGCAGGGATGGGAGGGGTAATTACAATTGGATGGGCTACTGTAAAAGTCTACTAAGTGCTTTACCAGTGCAGAAATTACAAAGACATTTTCCAGCACTGAAACCCTCCCTTCCCCCTGCCAATTCCAGCAAGGAGATATGTTTAGCAGCCATGTGGGAGGAAAATGCGTAGCCAAAGTTACTGAGAAGAATTCTGCAGAAAATTGAAATGCTAGAAAAGAGAGAGGGAAATCTTTGTTCTGTATTAATGTGAGAGATCCCCTCCCCCAAGTTTGAGAGACAGATAGAGCCACTGGTGGTGCACACAAGGGGAAAGGTGCTGTCCTGCTTGGAAACTATGTGTAGAAAAATGTAACAATTTTGCTGCTTGATCAGACCCCGGATCTGTCTAGTCCAGCATCCTGCTTAACAGAGCAGCCAGCCAGATATTTTCAGAAAGCCAACAAGCCACAGCATCAAGGCAATAGCTCTACTATGGAGTTTGTTTCAATCTACATCACCAACCCCCTGGAACGATTAGTAAGAGGCACACTATCTCTGGCCCCAGTAGTTCCATTTGGTCACCACTGCTAATAGCAATGATAGACCATCATGAATAATTTGGTATCATCTACAATCTTGGCTACCTCACTGTTCATCCCTGAATAGTGATGCAGCCCAGCTCCAAAACAGATTCTAGTAACTATCTATTTAGAAGAAGAAGAGTAGGTTATTATACCCCACTTTTCTCTACCTCAAGATGTCTCAAAGCGGCTTACAATCACCTTCCCTTCCTCTTCCCACAACAGCCCCCTTTTAAGGTAGGTGGGGCTGAGAGAGCTCTTAGAGCTCACCCAGCATGCTTCATGTGGAGGGGTGGGAAATCAAACCCAGCTCTCCAGATTAAAGTCCACCTCTGTTAACCACTACACCATGCTTGCGCTTATTGATTCAATTGCCAATGTATAAGAAGTCACATCCTCTTATCCCATGACCACTAAGGAGCCTTTAGTGAGGAACTTTGTCAAAACCTGTTTGAAGCTTTTGGGATGCCTGCTGTGACAGACCCCTGCTTCTTCTTCTCTGTGAGGCAGATTTTCCCACCAAAACACTGTTCCCCACTCTGACTGAGCAGCCTCTTAGTAGTGTATTTGAAGTATAGAATTATAACTTTCTGTAGGTCCCACCCAGTGATAGAGAAGTTTTTCGGCTTTTGCCCAGGCCAGAGATTTATTGTAACTCAGCAGGAGCCCTCTTATAAATCCCTTTTCGAAATGGCACTTGACACAAAGTAAAGTTCAAACAGAAAGGTTGATTTTCTTGAACAGGCACAGGTAGGGCTCCCAAATCTCGACAAATCGCGGTGGGGGATCCACATGTCTTTCCAGAATCTGTGCCACGGGGACGGCGAGACGCGTTGCACTGCCGTCGCCAGGACATGACGCTACGTGTCGCTCTGGCAATGCGGCTGTTTGGAGCCCCGTTGCCAGAGCGACGCGTAGCGTCATGTCCTGGCGACGGTGGGTGAAACGTGTCTTGCCGTCCCCACGGCATGGATTCTGCAAAGACACACGATCCCCCGCCGCGACTTGGCAACCCTAGGCACAGGTGAGTTAGAAACAGAGCAGGGGACAAGAAGTTGAGGTAAATTTGGTTGTTTATACAAATTATATTTTGAACAGGCAACAGAGTATAGTTGAAGCTTATATTCTTAGAGACTCAGTTCTTAACTGTGAGGTGTTTGTTTGTCTTGGTAATTTATTTCAGCAACAATGTGTCTTAATAAAATTTTGTAACACTACCTTAGTTTCCTGGAAGTTAGTACTTTCTTCCTGTATTTAAATTCTTCCCTTGTGGGATTATAACTTTCCCTTTTTTACTCTTGAGGAATCTAAGACCGTTTTCCCTTTCACACAAACCAGGGGGGTCCCTTCTGAGCTGAACGCTCTGAACTGGGTAAGAAACATCCTCTTCTTTCTAGGAGCAATAATCCTTTTCTGTTTACATAGAATGTCAGTTTTCAACCTACTGTCCAGTCTCTTCTTTCAAACCAAAACCCCAGCTCTGGAGTGACTCATATTCTCATAACATGACCAAAGCCTGCCTCTAGCTACATGCTTGTTGATAGTCCCAAAGAAAAGAACACTAAAAAATAGAACTTTGCATTGCTATAAAGTGCTGCTGATTCTTCCTCACCAAGGCTTGTTCCTTTTTATGCTTTAACCATTTAATGCTAATTTTCCTAGGACAGAGCTATCTGTCTGCCTGACATCACACACACACACCCTATATGTATTTATATAGTTACTTTTGCTATTTTCCAATAGACAAAGAAGCTTATTTCTATATTTTTTGCACAAGTTCAAGCATTTGGGTCCTGTTCAGATTCTTCCACAATGATGACTAATGACAGAAACCACTTAGCTTTTTGAAAAGCTCCTTGCCCTCCTTTACTCATTCTTTCAGTCCTTTATCTAACAGTGTGGCTACTGCGTACTTTGCTGGTTTCCTTTATCTGTTGTATTTAAATAAATGTTTATAGTCTTAAGTATGTTTGAGTTCTTTTTTTCATTTTCCTTCTCAACTTGCTTTTGTTTAGCTGGAGTTTGTGCTCCTTTTCATCTTCATTTGGTCATTATTAAAAAAAGAGGAAGTTTTCTTTTCACAAGTTCCTTGACTCTGCTGATTAACCACATTGATATCCTCCTGGGCTTTTTTGTAAATTTCCTAATCTGTGGTATTAATTCTATCAGAGCTTTTATTATCATGGGGTTTAAATCATTTTAAAACATATCTCACTCCAGATCCTAGGCACAGCTCAAGACTGAATCCAGGTTCCTTATCTTCCTATCATGACTGACTGTTCCAAGACTCAATAATTTATCATGTCTCAAACATTCTCAGTCACTGGGCAAGTGAAGTCACCTATTGTTACAACACTCCCTTGGCTGTTTCCCTGATTTCCTTCACCATGTTAAAATCATCCTCAGAGTCCTGTTTGTGTGGGCATGTCTCTATTGTTACATTACTTTTTGGGCCTGGTATTTCTGCCAATATTGATTCCATGGATGAGTTTATCCATTTAATTTTTGTTTAGTTTATTGAACTTTATGTCCTCAGACAAATAGATGGTAACTATCCCCAATCTGATCTTCTCTGTCCTTTATATAGATTTTATAGTTGTTATCCTAAGCAGCTTACAGACAAGCTTTATGATTGTGCTGATAATAATCAGACATTTTAAAATATATCTTCATTGATTTTAAGTGTTTTTACTTGCCACAGCATATATATCATATAGATAAAATACAGAACTAGAGACTGTCTTATAAAATGTTTGGCACTGCTCTTTCCTCATTCTGCCCTGAAGCTCACTGGGTGGTATTGGGACAGTCACGATTTCTCAGCCAAACTTACCTCATTGGTTGTATACTAATTATTGGTCCCCATTGCCATCTGATCCATCTATATGGCCATGACAGATTTCAGAACTGACTAACCCTGCAGCCAATCATGGCCTCCAACAGACTGAAGGGGCTGTAGATAACAACTTAGCCCTGAGGAACAGCACAGGTTTAGTACACATCAAAGTCCTGGATGTGTCATCCAGCAGATGGGACTGGGAGCAGTGTTCCCTCTAAGCTGAGTTAGTGTGAGCTAGCTCACAGTTTTCTAGCCGCCGGCTCACACATTGTTGTCTTAGCTCAGGAAGGATGGCTAAAGAGCAAATTAATTTATTCAGCAGCCAAATCGCTCACTCACAACTTTAATCCCAGTAGTTCACAAGACTCCATAGTTTATAGGGAGCATTGACTGGGAGAGCTCACACCAGAAACAATGTGCCAGAAACAATGAGAAGGGAGGGACCAATAATATAATTGAACTCACTGGAGTTTATACTCTGGTTTCATTGGTGGGATTAACGAGGCACTACAAATGCCCTGTGACTGCCTTTCTTTTGTGTGTTCCTATGGTTAGGAGGTTAGAGAGCTGCTTTGTGACATCTGTGTCATGTGTTAGTCCTGCCTGCTTTGTTCCTCCTACCCCTTTTTGCTGATGATGAAATTATTGCTGGCCAGGCAATCAAAAATTGATCTTTGCCTTCATTCCACCACTTCATATCGTATCTTCTGTTTATCATCTCAGCCACAAAGAAGCTAGAAAAGATTCTCACATGTAAGGGTGTGTTGCTGGTGACCAAGATCAAGTTAATTCATGCCATAATATTTGCCATTACTATGTATGGGTGTGAAAGCTGGACAATGAAGAAACTTGATTCATTTCAAACATGGTGTTAGAGGAGATTTTGAGATACTGTGGACTGCCAAAAAGACAATCAGTGGGTTCTAAATCAAATGAAACCCAAACTCTCCCTAGAAGCTAAAATGACTAAATTGAAGCTATCATACTTTGGTCACTTTATGAGAAGACAGTAATGCTAGGAAAAGTTGCAGGCAGCAGGAAGAGGAAGACCTGACATGAGATGGACTGACTCAGTCAAGGAAGCCATGGCCCTCAGTTTGGCAAGACCTTTTGGAGGTCTTTAATTCACAGGATCACTGTAACTCAGAAGCGATTTGATGGCCCTTTAACACACACCCCTTTTCAATTTACTCACAATTAATTTTATAAGGCTTAGGGCCAAAAATTACATTTTAGAGAACAGTACAATTAAAATGATTTGAAGATGAAACATCATAAAATCTAAAAAACAACATCAGCATCTTTTCAGTAGATAATAATAATTTTTTAGATTTAATTTTTTTTAATTTTAAACAGTGAAAACTGAAATAACAGTTATAACAACAAGTGAACTAGATATAGTAGCTACAAAAACAGATAAGGAATTCAAAGTAGTTTACAAGAAATGAAAAACTTCATAATACTTTTGAGGAACAAGAAATTTAGAAGG